AGATTGTACAGACTATTATTTATTGGAATGAAAGCAAGGGAAAAATGTATTCAACCTATTTGCTCGAAAATATTGACAAGAAGAAATATTTTAATTCGATTCATTATGCAATTGATCAACTATAAGCCTGAAATTTCTATTTTTAAGAAATTGGATTTCAAAGATAAGATCAATTATTCAAATTCAAATTTAATTCTACCTAAAATAAACTTAATTTTAAAATTTCAAATTTAAACTTGAAATCATCCAAAAAAGGTTATTATCTTTTAAAACAAATCTAAAATACAAAGTAAAGTTAAACTTGATTGTTTGTACCGTATCCATTCCTCTAGGTCAAGAAAATTTATCTTTTGAGTAAACGAATTATATTTTTGAGCATTTGAAAATCTTTTTTTATTTTGATGAACTAATTTGAACAAACCGACTGATTGATTGAATTCGATGAGGTAGCTGACAAGAACCCTTTTAATTAGTAGGGAGAACATTTCTCTCTATTATCTCAAGGCCCTTGTTTGGCATGTACAACAGGTGCTATTTCTTTTTCATTTTAATAATCTCGAGTGATAGTAAAGAGCAAATCAACTAATTGATTGAATTCGATGAGATAATTTCCAAGAACCCCTTTTAATTAGTAGGGATAGCATTTCTCTCTATTCTCTCAAGGCCCTTGTCTGGCATGTCCAATAGTTGCTATTTCTTTTTCATTTTAATAATCTCGAATGATAGTAAAGCAACAATAAGAACTTTACTTAGTAGGAGGAATGATGAACTCCATCTTATGATTGTTTTATGTGAGTGCTCTTTTTTAGGCAGTATAGCCGTTAAAATCAGTTGGGAATTGTTGGAATGGCATTAGAGTAGGGTAGGCAGTATAGGTGGCTCATTGGGGTACAACAATGTATAAAAATGGTTGGTCAGGCTTCAAGTAACTCTAACCCCCTTAACTGTTTAGAATTATGTTATATGGAAGAAAACCTCTTACAGATGGCTGGCTTGGGCTTTATGAATTTTGGTAGATGAAAGACATGAAATGTGAACAAGATGATGGATGGTGCTTCGAGATATGATAAAAAATGCTGGAAAACTAGATGTATTATTCTCAAGTTTTTTGGGTTTACTTTGATTATGGATTATAGAAATTAAGATAAAAGAAAGAATTAATGTATGCAAGTGGGGTAGTATTCATAATTCTAACTTCTAATTGCTTGGATAATGACTAATGATTAAAAAGACGAAGAAAAATATATGGATACTTGCTTTAGGTCAGCCCGAGAGTCCCGATAAAGCTTTTCTATCTCATTAAGCCATCAAAATAGTTGATGTTCACATTGAAAATGGCTGAACGATTCATGCCCACTTTACCTTGTATTTGTGTCCGAATAAGCTTTCAGGAAGTAGTTATTTTAGTTTTTTTTTTCTTTTGCTCTACATGTTTTAGAGATCCTGAAAATCTTAACCTTGGACTGTCCACTTCATTCATTGTCCTCTCTATATCCTGCTTGATATCCACAATATCAGTATTGTGCCATTGATTCTAGTGTTCAACTTTATCCAATACATGTTTTAGAGATCCTGAAAATCTTAACCTTGGGCTGTCCACTTCATTCATTGTCCTCTCTAGATCCTGCTTGATATCCACAATATCATTATTGTGCCATTGAATCTAGTGTTCAACTTTATCCATGCGCTACTTTCTATCTTAACGTCCTTAGATTTTATTTTATGCATTTTATTTAGTTCGGAAGGATTTTGCTATCTTCATTGTTTATTGTTTCTTTTATTCATAGGTTGTTACTGCGATCCACTTACATGTGTACATGCTTATATGGATATTGGTGTATGGGGAATTATATGAATATCAGTACATTGTGCCATTTGCATGTTATTAGATAGCTTCATTGATTGACATGCAGGAGCATAAATTTTGATTACTCGTTCATTTAAATGTTTTTGTGCCATTGAATGATTTTTTCTGTTTCTTACATGCATTTGTTTCGTATTATATGGCCTTAGTCTAGTTGATTGTGTGTGTGTTTTTTTTTTCCAAATGTTAAAATATTCGTATTCCTATTGTATATTATGTTTCAGGTCTTTCCATTGCTCGTAGAGAAATTTTCATTTGAAGAGCAAGCTGATCTGGTATGGCAATTTTTCTGTAGCATCCCCGTGAACATGATGGCGGAATTTCTCCCTTGGCTCTCTTTTTGCATCTCATCTGACGAGCATCAGGATATGATAAAATGTTTGTTGAAGATTGTTCCAGAAGAAAAGCTTCTTCAAGAAGTAATCCTTTTTTTTAATCGTTTTATCTATTTTCTTACTTAACATTAAAATACACTAACACCGTTAAATTTCTTAGGTGATATTCACTTGGTTGGATGGGAAACATATGAACAGTGTTGACCAAAATCATATAAGAAAATTCGAGCGACATTTTGATACTGGATCATGCAAATTTTCTGGCCAATCAGAAAAAAAGAGGGTTTCATTTGAAAACTTAACATGTAGAAAGAGAAAATATGCAGATTTGGATTGCGAGCCAGGGGATTTGCTTGGACACCCTCATCCAATAAATGAGATACTGCATTGGCATAATGCTATCAAGAACGAGTTAAATGATATCACAGCTGAGGCAAAGAGGATACAACTTTCAGGGGATTTCGATAATCTTTCCAATTTTGATGCCAGACTACAATTTATTGCTGATGTTTGCATTTTCCATGGGTACGAAGCTTCTTGAGTTTTATACTAACCACTATTTTTATGGTACTTTACCATCATTAACTCTTTTTTCTTTGTATTTATTATTCATCGACGTGTGTTCAATCTTATTTTTCTTAAAAATAAGGTCGTCTTGAAATTTTCTACCATGTTGGAGAATCAGGTAGGTTTCATTTAAGAAAAAAATATTTTTGAAGCTATTTTTAATGTTAGTATAATTAATGGAAATGTAAAGAAAACATAGAAAGAGTCAATATGATTTTTATTAACATTGAGAAGGCTCATGATGAAGGACCATACCATGAGAATTGAATTTGTGCACTTTGGGAAAAAAGAATATTTTTAATTTATGCTAACTTTGTTGGAACAATATTTCACGGAACTCTTGCAGGTATAAGTAGTAATTGTAGTAGAGTGAACAGAGACGTTCTAAATGATAAAAGAGTTATGATGCGTATAAAGGACATTTGAAGTGAGATCTTGCTAGATGCTTGTAACATATATATATATAATCTATTAGACATCAGATAAAATAACTGAAAAATTAATGATAGAGAAATTTTTTACAAGATAAAGGGATTAGAATCATTAAAATAAAACAAAGTATATAATAAATACTGTTAGTGGGTAGGGTTGATAGGTTTTTATTACTTTAGATCTCTTTTACAAAATAATGGATACACTTTTGTAGATAGAGCTCCTAGATTTAAGGCTTGATGATTAAAATGGAAAAGTTTCATGAGTATTATGTAATAGAAGCATGTCATAGAGACTGAAAAGAAAATTTATAAAATTACAATCAAGTTGGCGATATTGTATGGGCTTAAGTGTTGGACAACGAATATATCGGATAGATGAGTGGTGGAAATGATAATTTTTTGATGGATGCTTGACCAAATTGGAAAGGATAAATTAATAAACTATTATATTTTAAGATGACATTTATTGTGAATTATATAAATGAAATTAACTTATGTGGTTTGAACATGTACAATGAATGATAGAAATCACATCCTTAAAACTTTAGTGTTAGAGGATTAAGAGCAATGTTATAATAGGTGGAGTTGTAATGTGGTGGCATTTTATTGGTTTTAAAAGATGGGCTTCAGGACCTTTATGTTTTAAACATTTCATAAATAAAAAATATGATTAAAATAATATAAAAGTGTGATATTTAAAATAAATTCATATGTCAAAGTCCTTAATCATTTCATTCAAAATTTAATTACAAAATCTAATAATGCAAACACTAAACACTAGTCAGGAGTTCGACCACAAAGTGATGTATTAAAAGTGTGAAATAACAATATATTTTACGAACATCTAAATATGGAAAATAAACTAACATTCCAATTTCTTAAGATTTTAATGCCTACCAATTGACCTAACTAAAAAAAATTTAAGTACTTTATTGGATTAACTCTTATGATGGGTTTTAAAGATCCATTGAGAGATTCCAATTTTTTATATAAAAGAGACAATAAAGAAGCCGCAACAAGTGTGCTTGGGTTGTAGGTTGACAAGTCTATAAATATATTGAAATCTCAATAAGTTGGTGACAGAGTGAAGTTGATGGGTTGACTAAGTGAGCACGTTAGCATGGGAGAAATAGTGATAGAGTGAATTGGTGAGGGGACGAGAGTGAGTTGTGAGAAAAAAATCCCTAATCTTTGAAAGAGCGAGAGGGTTGGTGAAGTGTAATTAATGAACATAAATATATTTGAGTCGATTTAAGTTTATTTTATTTTATTTTTATAGGATTTAGAAATTATTTTGAGATAGCTGCTTAAAATTTTTCTAATCATTTAATCTAAGTTTAAATTATAAAACGAGGGCACAAAAAAAAAAAAGAAATGAGCTTTTTTTCATTTAATCTAAGTTTAAATTATAAAACGAGGGCAAAAAAAAAAAAATGAGCTTTTTTGTCGATGCCTTGTTTTGTGGGGGCTGCTTGCATGCTAAAAGCCTCCCCTTATTGGCTCTAAACAATTTTGGTTTGCTTTGTCTTATGGTGATCCCTAATAATGCTTTTTAAGTATTGATTAGCAGAGAGAAGACACAGAGTAAGGTAACATGGATAAAAATCGTTCAAAATAATTTATGAATAATAAGCTTAAGACCTAATGTATTAGGAGTGAGTGGGAAGTTGATGGATAAGAAGATGGCTTGAAATAATTGGGATGAGGTTAATACTGATTATGATGGTTTTCCTTAGTTTTCGTCATCTGGTGACCTAAGCTTATGGTTTGCATATAGTTTTGGTTTTCATGAAGATCAATATTGTAAGGGAATTAGTAGAATTTCTCTCTATTTATTTTGTTGCTTTTTTTGTTATTTCTTTTTACTGTTATTTCTTTTTATATGTATTTCCTAATTTATGCCTTTCTTTTTTATCTTTTGTATGCTATTAAGAAAGATTTGGGTATTATATATTTTCTATTTTATACCATTTGTATCATGTATTTATACCCATTTGCTGCTCAATAATATTATTCTGCTCTAATCTCTAATTCTACATGGTATCAGAGCATGGATCTAACCCTAGCTGCCTTTGAGACATCACCCTAGCCGCTGTTCTCTTCTTCTTGCTGGTCCTCCCTGCCTGTTTTACAATCGTCGAACCTTCTGCAGGAATTTCTGCTGTTGAACCCTGCAGGAAATTGTCGCTGAACCTGCAGGCCCTCCCTCAACATCACCAGTTTAGCCTACCTACCCACTGGTTGTTTTTAGCCACCTTAAGGACCTTTTGTCTCTGTTATTCTCAGTCGAAATCTCCTTATGTATCAGCAACCCAATCTCACCTTTGGCTCAATTGGAATCATGGTGGACTCAACTGACGAGCCTCCTCCCAATGGTGTAAAGGATCGACACCAACCTCAATCCCTCCGCAACCAGATGCCTTAAAAATCACATGAACTTTTTGACATCACCCACTAACGACTCTAATATTCTCCAATGGTCCCAAGCCGTGTCATTGTTTGTCAAATGACACATGAAATTTGGCTATCTCACAGGGATGATTCATGAACTTCTGAAAATTGACCCAACATATGGAGCGTGGGAAGTGGAGAATTCCACGGTCATGTCTTGGTTGATCAATTTTGTAGAGTTTGCGATTGTCCGATCATATTTATTTCTTCTATCTATAAGTGCATTATAGACAAAATTTTGGGATGCTTAGTCGGACATAGGAAACACAAACCAACTTTATTGTCTTGGTTGATCAATTTTGTAGAGTTTGCGATTGTTCGATCATATTTATTTCTTCTATCTACAAGTGCATTATAGACAATTTTGGGATGCTTAGCCGGACATAGGAAACACAAGCCAACTTTATGTTAGTCGGACATAGGAAACACAAACCAACTTTATTAGATTTCCAAGTTATGCGAGGCCAAACAGGGATCAAGAAACGTGACCCAGTACTACAATGACTTGGTAGCCTTATGAATGAAATGCGATCTCCACTACGACTACACATAGGACTCTCAGATGTATCTTTCCCTTTTCCAGAAAATTGTGGAAAAAAAAATTTTGTTCCAATTCTTGGTGGCTCTAAACTAGGATCTTAGCGAAGTCCGGGGTCATATTCTTGGCTGAGATTCCCTTCAGCTCGTACTGCATTCACGAAGGCATGCCACAAAAAAAGCCAGAGACTTGTCATGCTCGACATCTCCACTCCTTCAACCGAACCGTTCGCCTTGGTCTATAATAGTGCTCAAACCTCCTCCACGTCATCACGGGCCAATCACTCCATTTGTGATTATTGTCATGTTATTGTCACGAACCTAATCATATACGTGACAAGTGTTGGAAGCTCGATGGAAAACCGATGAATAAAATTTAACTAAATCTTTCGTTGCTAAGGGTCTCACTATGACCTTATAATCAACAGTAGTACAATCGGCTCCCACTCACAACATCTCGAAATCACTATAGATGGAGTGCTTGATCAAACTATCTGGATCTAATCAATTCTCTTTTTGCCCGCCAACCTCGCATGTTTGTCAATGTAACATTCCAATGACACTCATTATTTTTGCTTTTTCTAGCCCATGGATTATTGATTCAGGTGTCACAGACCATGTGACCAAATATTCTCAATCCTTCTCGACATATTCTTTGTGCTCTGGGAGAGATAACGTTAAAATTGATGTTAATTTTTGTAGTTCCATTGCAGTTAAAGGGTCTAATAACATATCTGACTCTAGAATCTGTTTTGCATGTATCTTCATTGAAGTGTAACCTCTTGTCAATCTGTAAGTTGACATCTGATATTGATTGTGTTGTTCATTTTTTTCTGATGTTTGTGTCTTTCAGGATCGTTGTTCGGGGAAGACAATTGTAATTGTTAAGTCGATAGTTAGGCTCTACTTTTTCTAAGAGAAAAGTGGTGTTGATGATGTCACTCTATCCAGTAGTTGTAGTCTTTCACAGTCCACTGAATGTCCCATTATGCTTTTACACTATTTTTTGGGTCATCTCAGTTTTCAATATTTAAAACAATTTTATCTTTTGATATTTTCCTTTAAAAATTTATTTAGTTTCAAATGTGAGATTTTTCAGTTAGCTAAACATCATCGAGTACTATATCCACCATATTCTTACAATCATACTTTTTTTTCACTAATTCATAGTAACTTATTGGGACCCTCTCGAACGCCTAGTTACAATATTAAACGATGATTCGTTATTTTGACTGATGATCACACTCAAATGACGTGGTTTATATCTTAAAAGATAATCTGAAACTACGTCATCTTAAAAAAAATTTATTCCTTCGTTTTGACTCAATTCAAGTCTTTCAGACTGATAAGAACATGAATTTTTTAATTCTATAATAGGGGTATTTTTTTATAATTGAGGACATCCTCCATCACAACTCTTCTAAGAATACTCCTCAACAAAATGGGATAGCAGAGCGAAAAAACTGACACCTTCTCGATGTTGTCCGTTCCATTATGTTTCAATACGATTTTGGAATGATGTTGTATTTATCGCCACATATCTCATAAATAAAGTTCCCACAAAAATTCACAAATTTCAGGCCCCATTAGCAGTTTTGAGATCGTGTTTTACTACCAATTGATTCTTCTCTACTTTTGACCCCAAAATAGTTGGGTGCATGGTTTTTGCTCGGAGCACTACCCCAACTCGTAGTGAACTTAATCCTCGTTCAATCAAGTGTATCTTCCTTAGATATTCTGCCACTCAAAAGTGCTATTGGTGTCTCGATCCTATCACAAATACTCTATGTGAGTGTGGATGTCTTTTTCTTTGAAATCGATCCTATCACCAACACTGCCTCAAGTGAGAGGGAGTTAGATTTTTTTTGGACATTACTCCTTTGCCAACTCTGTTGCATATGCCACCTACTCCTCCCGCCACTGTTCTCGAGGAACCATCTATCCCACTGGATCCACCATCTACTAGACCAACTATCTTTTCTGCCCACTCTTCGTGTCTATTCTTATCAACATCAAAATCTCGGTTGAGACGCGTCCCATTACCTCTACTCTTGAGCTCACTGCCCCTTTGTAGGCCTTTGAATCCACCCCGGCTGACTTCCCCAACACTACACTTGCGAAGATTACTCTTGCTTCAAGTGAGGAGGTGAGTTCTACCATTGAGTTACACAATTAGATTTGCTCTATTTATTCCATGGCGAAATGCATCTCAATCCACAACTTGCCGCTTCCTTGACGAATCTTCTTCTTCCATCCACTATTGAGGCAGCATTAGCAAACTCTTCTTGAAAAACTACAATAATTGATGAGATGAATGCCCTTTGGCGAAATCAAACGTGGGATGTTGTTGATATTCCTTGGGAAAAGAAAGCAGTTGGTTGCTGGTGAATCTTTAGCACCAAATTTAACTTTGATGGAACCTTTGAACACAACAAAGCACGATTGGTCATCAAAGGCTGCTCACAAACCTATGGAGTTGACAATGAGGAGAGGTTTACTCCGGTTGTTAAACTGAACACTAGTCAGGTCCTGCTATCCCTTGTTTTGAATTTGGATTGATGCCTTTTTTAACGGTGATCTCACAGAGGTGTGGATATCTCTACCTCCAAGTTTTGACTCAACTTTTAGGGGACAAGTGTGTCTACCGTGAAAGTCACTCTACGGACCGAAGCAATCTTCTTATGTCTGATTCAACAAGTTCACGCAGTGGTAGTGGATCATGGGTTCTCTCAGGCCCAATCAGATCATGTGATCTTCTTTCAGCATTTCTCCAGTGGCCAAATTGTTATTCTTATCTTCTTTGTCGATGATATTGTGCCACAGGTAATGATCTGCCAGCCTTGGAATCTCTTAAAGGCATCCTCGCCGCATCCTTTGTAATGAACTTGGGGTCTCTCCAATACTTCTTTGGCATAGTGGTTGCACGATTTTCTTTGGGCATTTTCCTTTCACAATGCAAATTTGTGATGACCCTATTGACAGAGGCCAACCTTCTACTTTTCAAACCAGTGATTGTTTCAATGGACTCCAATGGTCGCCGCATCCTTTGTAATGAACTTGGGGTCTCTCCGATACTTCTTTGGCATAGTGGTTGCACGGTTTTCTTTGGGCATTTTCCTTTCACAGTGCAAATTTGTGATGAACCTATTGACATAGGCCAACCTTCTACTTTGCAAACCAGTGATTGAAATTGGTAGATTTTCCCATTGTTGTTCCTGTGAATAAGAAACACTACTAATGCTTTGTGTAAAAACTCATTTATTTTGCCCATACACGCACAAATATTTTCCACGTGGTAGTTATTGTAAGCCAGTTGATGCATGACCCCAATGAGCATAATCTCACAGCTGTCTACCAGATCCTTCACTAATTAAAAGGGACAATGGGCTTAGGTTTGCTGTTCTTGTGCCCCTCTTGTTCTATTGCAGTTTATATTGAGTCTGATTGGCTCGGGTTCGTCCATGATCGACCATTTACCTTGGGTTTTGCTCATTCGTGTGGGGAAACCTTGTCACATAAAAAAACAAGAAACAATCGATGATTGCCCGAAGCAGCGCAAAAGACGAGTTTTGTTTCATGTCCTTGGGAATCTGTGAAACGCTCTGGTTATGCATCATGCTCCGCTAATTACATATGCCGGTCACTGTTCCTTTACAACTGTTCTGTGATAATAAAGGACAATTAACGTTGTTTATAATCCGGTTCAACATAATCACACTAATCATGTAGAGATTGACCGTCATTTCATCGAGTTTCATCGAGAAGTTTGATTCCAGAGAGATTTGTGTTCCATTTGTTTCATCCAGTGGCCAACTCGCAGATATCGTCAACCTCCCTCGGCCGTTGCTTGACGACTTCAAATCTAAGTTGAACATAATTGACGTCTATACTTCAACTTGAGAGGCGAGTATTAGAAGCTATTTCTATTTATTTTGGTTGCCTTTTACGTTATTTATTTTTATATGTATTTCTTAATTTATGCATTTCTTTTTTATCTTTTGGGTGTCATTAGAAAAGATTTGGGTATTATATCTTTTTTTTTTCTATACCTCTTGTATCATGTATTGATGCCCTTTTGTTGCTTAATAATATTATTCTATTCTATTCTCTAATTCTACAAATATTAATATGGTACTACAATACTTTATGGGAGAAAAAACTTTATTATAACTGTGTACACACTATTCTATTAATGTAAATTCTATAAGGGAGTTACTCTAAATTGTATAATGTTTTGTGTATTGTCCGCTTGGATCTAGTCCTAATTTCTTTAATAACTTATTGGAAATTCAAGAGTTATTTATGTATTCGTGTACTTGGAGTCTCGAATACTTGGATGCCACCTTGAAAGTTTCTACTTCATCTTGCGATTTTAGTTGAAAATAAACTTCAGCTGAGTGGTATATATTGAAGTTAATGTAGTTGAAAATATACTTATATAGTTTGTACATCTACAATAAAACTAGAAAAAGCACCCATTAGGTGGGAAAAATCAGAAAAAAGAACTGCTTGATCGAAGGCAAAATGTAAATAAGTTAAAATTATTTAAAAAAAAAAGTTTAATATCTCAGTGAACATGTAGTAGGAACTAACGGAATATGATGATTCATATAGCTGATCCCAGTTTTAATGATGACTAAGACGAGGATGATGACTGGAGGAGAGGCATGCTATCTTAATGGGTTGTGATTTGATGTTATGGTTTGCATAAAGATCAATATGTCAATGTTAATAAAGAAGGATGCTATAATCTTTGAAGGACAATCTTACTGATAACGCGAACACACTCAATCAATATCATGGCTTTTTTGCTTCTATGCTAATATTAAAAAGTGCTGCAGATATTGAAGTTTCATATGTTGCTCTGGAGCACTCCTAATATTCGTGACTTTGTAAGCTTTGATATGCATTTGATTTCAATTATTTTTCTTTTTGTTATTTTCGGGGATGCTTGGTTGACTTTTTTCATGCCTCCATTAAGCAAAATATCGATACTATGAGGTGAGAAATTGTTTGCACTAATTTGACATTGGCCGAATGGATTTATCATAAGAAAATAATTTTCTTCTTTTACCATTTATGGCCAATTACATTCGGTATCGATAAAGGATGATAAAGGTGGTTAATATTTTTTATTTTTTGCAGCATTGCGGAAGATCAGGTTATTTTTCCAGCAGTAGATGGACAGGTTTCTTTTGTACAGCAACATGCAGAAGAGGAAAATCAGTTTAACAAATTTAGACTTCTAATTGAAGAAATCAAAAGTGCAGGGTCAAGTTCTAGCACTGCTGACTTCTATTCAAATTTGTGTTCTTATGCTGATCAAATTATGGAAGCAATTCAGACGCACTTTCATAGTGAGGAAGTTGAGGTAGGCCGGATTATATGATGTGTTAATTTGGCCTAACTCTGCTTGCATAAGTTAATTAAATTCTAGTAAATGGAGCAGTATTCTTTTTATTATTCTAGGTTCTTCCTCTTGCTAGGAGGCATTTCTCTCCTGATAAACAGCAGGAATTATTGTAAGCAGGAATTATTGTACAAAAGCTTGTGTGTAATGCCTCTGAGACTGTTAGAGCGTGTTCTACCTTGGTTGATTTCAAAACTTACTGATTTAGAGGCGAGGGCTTTTCTCCACCACATGTGTTCTGCAGGTTGGTATGCAATATTTTTCTATTTAATGAGGGCCCAAAACCCAAACTGGTCCCCTGAGTATTAACAAGTGACCAATTTAGTTTCAGAGTTTACAGTGGCCCACTTTGGTCCCAAACTATTAACCATTGATCTAAAATAGTCCCTAGGTTAAATTTCAGTTGAAATTAACAACAACTATTAAATTTGAGGTTATTTTAAGAATAATAATTTTAATTGATTTTTCTTTATTGCCACTTTATTTTCATATGTAATAAATTATTTAAATTTTTGAATAAGGATAAATATTTATTTCATGAAGTAAATAATCAAATATGGTTATCTCTCTTTATGGAATCTGAATACTTTTTTATTTAAATAAATAGTATAATAATAAAATATTTTATTACATATAAAATAGAGTAATAATAAAAATAAAATTTCATTTACAATCATTATTCCTAAAACACCTTCAAAGTTAACGTTTGGTGTCAACTTTAATCATGAAATTCAGCCTAGTGACTAATTTGGATCAATTTTTAATAGTGTGAGGCTAAAGCAGAGCACTCTAAAACTCCGAAGCTAAAGTGGTCAACTTTTGATAGTTGGAGGATTACTTTGAGCTTTTGATCTCTTCTATTTAGATGCTATCATTATATCCTGCACATATATGTATTTAATAAGTATTTTACTCATGTGACGCAGCACCGCCATTAGACTCTGCACTGGTAACTCTCTTCTATGGTTGGGCTTGTAAGGGTCGAACCCCAGATATATTCGATTCTTGCAAGTTTAAGTGTTTATCTTCAGACACCATTAATGGTTGCTGCCTGTCAGAAGATAGCAATGAGAGAGGTTTAGGCTTTAGTTCTGGAATCTGTACATATGCCTGCATGCGTCGCAGCAAACTTGAACCACAATCACAAATCAAGCAAACGGAGCGTGAAGTTAATCAATCAATATCATTCTTGGATGATGATCAATCAGGGAGAGTAGAGGCTCAAAGTTTCTCGTGTGTTACAGCTTGCCGCATCCCTACATTAGGAGTTGATGGCAGCAACAACTTAGGATTTAGTTCCCTTGCTTCCGGGAAAGTGCTCCGGTCATTCTCTTATAACTCAACTGCTCCTCTAAATTCCAGTCTCTTTCTCTTGGAAACAGATTCATTTTCATCCAATATGGAGAATGCTATTAGACCAATTGATAATATTTTTAAGTTTCATAAAGCAATCCAAAAAGATTTAGAGTATCTTGATGTTGAGTCTGAAAAGCTTATAAACTGCGATGAATCTTTTCTTCGGCAATTCAGTGGAAGATTTCGTCTACTTTGGGGTCTATACAGAGCTCACAGCAATGCTGAAGATGACATTGTTTTCCCTGCGTTAGAGTCAAGAGAGTCGCTTCACAATGTCAGCCATGCATATACTCTTGATCACAAGCAGGAGGAGAAGCTGTTTAAAGATATATCTGAAGTTCTTTCAGAACTTACACAATTGCATGATGGCCTGGCGAAGAGAGATGGCAATATGGATGTATTAGCTAACAAAAGTTGGAAAAGGAAGAATAATGAACTTATTACAGAGCTTCAAGGCATGTGCAAATCAATACGAGTTACACTGGATCAACATATTTTTAGAGAAGAACTTGAGTTGTGGCCTTTGTTTGATAAACATTTTTCTATTGAGGAGCAGGACAAGATTGTGGGCCGTATAATTGGAACAACTGGAGCGGAGGTTCTACAGTCAATGTTGCCATGGGTTACTTCAGCACTCACGCAAGAGGAGCAGAACATGATGATGGATATGTGGAGGCAGGCAACAAGAAATACTATGTTCAATGAGTGGCTAAATGAATGGTGGAAGAGTGCTCCAAGTTGTTCACAAGATGAAACACAGAATGGAGGTCTTCCAGAAGGTGCATATTTATATATATTTTTTATAATTTATTATGTCATTCGCCTGACATGAATGGAAATTTTCTCTTCTTTTTTTTTTGAAACACAGAATGGAGGTCTTCCAGAAGGTGCATATACATATATATTTTTTATAATTTATTATGTCATTTGCCTGACATGAATGGAAATTTTCTCGTCTTTTTTTTGGGGGGTTCTACAGGCGGTGATTCCCAAGAAAATTTTGATCAAAATGGCCAAATGTTCAAGCCCGGATGGAAAGATATTTTTAGAATGAATCAGAATGAGCTTGAGGCTGAGATAAGGAAGGTCTCCAGGGATGCTACACTTGATCCACGAAGAAAAGCATATCTTATTCAAAATCTTATGACGAGGTTTTAAATCTCATGAAATTGCATTTTTTTTAATTTCCATTTTTAGTTTTAACATTTTCAAATGAGATTATTACGCTATGTAAATCATTTAAATTATATTATATCCGTTATAGCCGCTGGATTGCTGCTCAACAAAAGCTGCCTCAAGCTAAAAAGGGAGATAGTCAAAGAGATGATCTATTGGGATTTTTCCCATCATTTCGAGATCCTGAGAAGAAAACATATGGCTGTGAGCACTACAAAAGAAATTGTAAGCTTTTAGCAGCTTGCTGTAACAAGTTGTTTACGTGCCGTTTCTGCCATGACAAAGTTAGTGATCATTCGATGGAAAGGTACCAATATTTTACCGTGAAGCAATGATGCTTGACCTCCTATGAAATTGTGAATAATTGGCAATATTATATTTATGGTTTGGTCATTTTTATCCGCTATAAATTTAACTTATATTGTTGGTTTAGTGATATTTGAAGAATTCTGGATCCTAACCTTGTGTTGTTTGCCGTATTGGCAAGCGTAATGTTTTTTTTTTCACCTAACTATCATCCTGGGAAAAACCACAGCCTTGAAAAAAAAAAAATTAAAAAAAAGTGAGAATTAAGTGGTATTCAAAAAATTCATGATTGCACTTCAGGATACTGCTACATATCAATTTTTTGAATTTATTGACAATCTTGGTTCTTTCTCTTCCCCTTGCGGGGAGACCTTGCGCGCGCGCATGTGTTTGGCAAATATAATGTCTTCATAGTATTACTTATTACTTCTGACATACTTTTACCTAGCATTGAGCTTGTATCTTTTAACACCCTTTCTGGTTTAGAACTTTGATGGGTAATCATGTAAATTTATTGGAAAATAGTTGGATGATGGGTCATGCAAACTCCTTGTGAGCTTTTATGTAAAATTTGTATAGTAAATGCTCGATTTGTGAGAAAAATGGCTGTTCTTTAATGTTATGTTTACCAGCAACTGGTAACCTCAAAACAGATCGAAAAATTGATAGTATGCTAAGAAAATATTAGGTGAATCTCAATTCCCTCTTATATGGTATCAAAATTCACTTGATTAGACACACATCTCCATACAGTTTTGGATGAAATGACTTTTAGATTCAAATTCAAGATCGTCTAAGCATCAATTTCAACAAATTTTTATGATAAATCTGAATGCCTTAATGAGGTAAATCCAAAGACATCAAACATAGTCTAATCCTCATTTAAATGAGTCCAAACCAAATTCCTGAAGTATGGTTATAAATTTTGAAATATAATTGAAGAAATGAATGGTTACCAAATTCTACATATATTAAAATTAAGCATCTCAATGAGAGATATAAAAAAAGCCCAAAATAATTCAATTGTGAGGTTATTAAGGTATATAAATGCTAAAATAATAGTCTACAATCGAAGGAAACAATATGAGCTTTTGGGATTTTGGTTAAAATTACTAAAATGGCACTTTGAGAAATTGAGTGTGGAGATCATTCAATCATTATTGTATGTTTGCTACAACTTGATCATTGTCCGTCCAACATCGTCGAGCTGCTATGATGCTGTCATTCGTCCACTATCGTCTGATTGTTATTACCGACCACCTTGGTCTGACTGCACTGTAGCTGTTCGAGAATGTTGCTTTGATGTTCTAGCTTAGTCGAATAGCGAAATTAAATGGAGTGAAAATGAGGAGTTATTATAAATCCATAAAAATAAAGAAAAGAATTATAGAATAGTAGTAAATACAAGCAAAATAATATTGCTTAACAGTGTAACAATACTAAATATCTTTTGGCATCAGGTTTTTCTAAGATCATCTGATTACTGGTGCATGAAGTAAGATTGTATTTTGTGTCTACGCTGATATTTTGTAACTCCTCTGTTACCCTAAATAGACATTTGATAAATGCCAACCGTGGTTTTTAACTGAATCTCCTCTGCTGAACAGTAAAATTTAAAGTCATCCTTGCAGGCCACAATAATACCGCCCAACCGGAAAACTTATTTAGATGGTTATTATGTGTTTCTGAAAAATGCTTTAAATGCCAGGAAAGAATAATGGAAAATTTCAAATCATATTAGCTATGATTGCTTCATTTGATTTTAAGCATTAATTTGTGCTTCCACTTTAAATTTTTCAGGAAATAAACAGAATAGTTTGTGGGAATTTGTTCAAATTGATATATAAAAGATTTAGCATGCGTATTTCTTATGGATTTTTGTTTTCATCTCCTTTAAATGCTCATAATTTGTAACAATATCTTGGCGATGATAAAAGCTTGTAATTTTAAGATATTAGAGCTTGAATTATTTTGTATTCTGTCTCACTGCAGAAAAGCAACCTTGGAAATGATGTGCATGCGTTGCTTAAAACTTCAGCCAATTGCAGCAACTTGTAAAACGCCTTCCTGTAATGGATTTTCTATGGCTAAGTACTACTGCAACATCTGTAAATTTTTTGATGATGAAAGGTAACTTGAACCTGCATTTTTTTTATGTTTATTTCTCATTTATTTTGATTTTTTATAGATGATCAAGTGAAAAATAACTTATATTTAGTTTGATATTGCGATGTTCCAATTGGCGTAATTTTAGATAAATAATGTTTGAAATTACTGATCACATTTAGTTAAGGGGGCTTTATGGACATGAAATTCTTGCTGTCTCTATTAATCTGACTGATATCAGCGTTTTGAGTATTCCGTTTCTTTTGTCACTAATATCTTCAGACTTCTTTTTAGGAAAATGGTCATTTCATCTTTTTTGAGAGCTAAACTATCCGTACGACTGTATAAGTTTTTTATCGAAGTGTGAGATTTATCGCATTATGTGAATCTTAACGCTGTTAATCTGTATTTTCCACCAAAAAAACACCTCATAATAGAGAAAAGTGTCAAAATGATCCATTGACTTTTTGTAGGGGCTCTTTTAGTCTTAGAGTTTATAAAAATATCAATTTAGTACCGAGTGTTTTTTAATATGGGTTGAAATAGTCCTTAAGAAGGGCTATTTTAGCCCTCATTAAAAGAATCTTAAGGACTAATTAAATGTTTTATAGACTCTGTGATGCTGGAGTTAACCCAAAACACAATAGTCAAACCAAATATTATTACTCCAAAGCCAATTTGGCAATTACAACCCACTCCGAAAAAGAAATGCAATTATAATGACAAACACACTCAATTAAATTATATCCCAATGATGGTGAAGGTCAGCGAGGTGGGTTGGAATGGTTAGGTTGGGGTGTTGGGAGTTGGCATATTCAATAGGTAATGTTTCTAGAAGGTGGATGAGTTGCAGTAAGACCTGTCGGGGTTTGGAACAACAATAAAGTGGCACAAGAGTGTTGAGTGTGGAGCCCGGTTAAAAAACCTAAAATATATATGCTTGTCGCCTCTTCTGTAAGTACTCCCGTCTGCTTACTTTTGCTTATGGAAGGTGGGTCCCGCCACCATTAAAGAAGTAGAAGAAATTGCATTTGATGTGAAGTACAACTAGTAGTTTCTTGCATTTTTTTTTGTTGTCTTCTTCACGATGCATTTGATGTGAAGTACAACTAGTAGTTTCTTGCAATTTTTTTTTTTTGTTGTCTTCTTCACGATTTGGTGGTTTACGAAACACAGAAGAAAGAAATCTCCTGGCTTCTACGACAGAATTCCAAGCAAGAAGAAAGCGCAAGGTTTGGCTCTCTCATAATTCTTCTTCCTCCGTTTGAATCTCTCGTGCGACGTGAGAAAAGGAGGCGTGCCTGTGGCTTATGCGTGAAGTAGAAGGGAGTAAATCTAATTTCCGATTGGATTGGCATTGCAAAAAATCTCCAGTTCAGCCTTCTTCTTTGTTGTTGGCTTACGGTAGTAAGAAGGAAGAATCGCAAGTGCTCCTCTCTGTGGCTTCTCACGTTACTCTCGGGTAGGTAAAGAGAGAGATAGAAGTAGAAGAGAGAAAGAGGTTGAAAGAAATCTTTCTTATAATTGTCGAGACTATCGACTCGTGTAATTTTCTCAATTAATAAAATCCTCTGCAACTCCTTGGATGTATGCAATTTGCCAAATTTCTTTTAGTGTGAATTTTATCGTTCTATTTTTTCACTTCATTTTTCTCGTTCTATTTTAAATATACCACAACAACTGGTATCAGAGCCAATGATTGCAGATGAAGTGAAAGTTTCAGGAATCGAGAAATTTGATGACACAAATTTTGGTTATTGGAGGATGCAGATAGAGGACTACCTCTATGGGAGAAAACTTCATCTTCCGTTATTGGGGAAAAAACTTGAAAGGATGGATGAGGCTGAATGAAATTTATTTGATCGACAGGTTCTGGGGATTATTTGATTGACCTTATCGAGATTCATTGCACGCAACGTAGTCAAGGAGAGGACTACTGCATATTTTATGGCAGCCTTGTTAGATATGTATGAAAAACCATTGGCGAATAACAAAGTATATCTGATGAAGAAGTTATTCAATTTGAAGTGGCGGAAGGTACGTCTGTTGTACAACACCTGAATGATTTTAACGCTATCACAAATCAATTATTGTCCGTGGAAATTGAATTTGATGATGAGATACATGCACTGATCTTGTTGGTTTCATTCTCAAATAGTTGGGAAGTTATGAGAATGGTTGTCAGTAATTTTGCAAGTAAATTTAAACTGAAATATAAAAATATTCGTGAATTGATTTTGGCTAAGAAGGTGCGCGGGAAAGATTCAGGCGAAATCTCAAGTTCGAGTTCGACACTAAATGTTGATTCCAGAGGGAGATCATAAAACACCTGTGGCTTACGCGTGAAGTAGAAGGGATTAAATCTAATTTCCGATTGGATTGGCATTGCAAGGAATCTCCAGTTCAGCCTTCTTCTTTGGTGTTGGCTTACGGTAGTAAGAAGGAAGAATCGCAAGTGCTCCTCTCTGTGGCTTCTCACGTTACTCTCGGGTAGGTAAAGAGCGAGATAGAAGTAGAAGAGAGAAAGAGGTTGAAAGAAATCTTTCTTATAATTGTCGAGACTATCGACTCGTGTAATTTTCTCAATTAATAAAATCCTCTGCAACTCCATGGATGTATGCAATTTGCCAAACCACGTAAATCTGTCTGTTCTTTTGGTGTGAATTTTTCTCGTTCTATTTTAAATATACCACAACAACTGGTATCAGAGCCAATGATTGCAGATGAAGTGAAAGTTTTAGGAATCGAGAAATTTGATGACACAGATTTTGGTTATTGGAGGATGCAGATAGAGGACTACCTCTATGGGAGAAAACTTCATTTTCCGTTATTGGGGAAAAAACTTGAAAGGATGGATGAGGCTGAATGAAATTTATTTGATCGACAGGTTCTGGGGGTTATTTGATTGACCTTATCGAGATTCATTGCACAAGTCATTGCCCACAACGTAGTCAAGGAGAGGACTACTGCATATTTTATGGCAGCCCTGTTAGATATGTATGAAAAACCATTGGCGAATAACAAAGTATATCTGATGAAGAAGTTATTCAATTTGAAGTGGCGGAAGGTACGTCTGTTGTACAACACCTGAATGATTTTAACGCTATCACAAATCAATTATTGTCCGTGGAAATTGAATTTGATGATGAGATACATGCACTGATCTTGTTGGTTTCATTCTCAAATAGTTGGGAAGTTATGAGAATGGTTGTCAGTAATTTTGCAAGTAAATTTAAACTGAAATATAAAAATATTCGTGAATTGATTTTGGCTAAGAAGGTGCGCGGGAAAGATTCAGGCGAAATCTCAAGTTCGAGTTCGACACTAAATGTTGATTCCAGAGGGAGATCATAAAACAAAAACTCAAACAGGGGAATATCAAAATCAAAGAACAGAAGAATGAGCAAGTCAAGGTCTTGTAAAAAAGTAACTTACTAGAATTGTGACAAAACTGACAATATAAAGAGGAATTGTAGAAATCCCAAGAAGGCGAAGAATGACAATGCAAATGTGGTAACTGAAAAATCACAGGATGCACTACTGTTGACAGTTTATAGTTCTGTTGAGGACTGAATACTAGATTTAAAGATTTCTTTCCATACAACTTTCCATGGAGAATTGATGTGAAATTATGTTGCAAGTGATTTTGGGAAAGCATATCTGACAGATGGAAAAACTCTGAACGTGGTAGGAATGAGGGATATTGACATTGTACTTTCACATAAGAATAAGTGGTCTCTGCAAAAGGTCAGACACATTTCTGAACTGAAGAAGAACTCATTTATGTTGGGCAGTTTGATGAGTGTGGACATTCAGTAGTGTTCTCAGATGGCAACTGGAAGGTTACTAAAGGAGCACTGATACTGACTCGGGTAAGAAAACATGTACCTTGTATATGACTACTGATTTAATTAACAATGTTGATACTACTGTTGCAGAGAGCACAACAGAGTTGTGACATTGCAGACTTGATCACATGAGTAAGAGAGGTATGAAGGAACTTTAGTCCAGACGCAAGCTACTAGAACTAAAGTCACTTGATTTCAGCATGTGTGAGAGTTGCATTATGGGGAAACAAAAAATGTCAGTTTCTTGAAAAGTAGCAGGACGCCAAAGGAAAATGACAGAACGCCAAAGGAAAATTGGATCTTGTACACACAGATGTTTGGGGACCTTCTCCAGTGACATCTCTTGGAGGCTCTCGTTACTACTTCACATTTATTGATGCTCATAGCAGAAAGAGATGGACTTATTTCTTGAAGTATAAATCTGATGTATTCAGTGTGTTCGAGAGTTGGAAGGCCATGGTTGAGACAATGACATGCTTAAGCTAAAATATCTGAGGTCTGATAATAGTGGTGAGTACATTTATGGTGGGTTCAAGGAGTACTGTGCATCTCAGGGCATCAGAATGAAGAAGACTATTCGAGAGACACCACAATAAAATAGTGTTGTAGAGCGCATGAATAGGACCATTAATGATGGGCTAAAAGCTTGAGATTGCATGACAGACTACCACCTACTTTTTGGGCAGAAGCGGTTAATACCGCAGTTTATTTGATCAATAGGGGGTCATCTGTTTCATTAAACTATGAATTACTATAAGAAGTCCGGAGTGAGAAAGAAGTCAAATTTTCTCATCGTAAGACTTTCGAATGTCTTTCTTATATTCTCATTAATCCTGATGCTCAAAGTAAATTTGAGGCTAAGTCAAAGAAGTTTACTTCATTGGCTATGGAGATGAGGCATATGAGTATCGTTTCTGGGATGATTAGGGTCGGAAGATCATAAGGAGCAGGAATATAATTTTCAATTAAAATGTTGTGTAAGGACAAATCTATTACAGTTTTTGAAACAACACTGCAGAAATCTGAGTTGGTAATATTTGATAATTTACCAGAGGTCACTGTGTAAGGTAGAGATGCAAGTGACGAGGATAGAGGATCCGGGGCATCCACTCCTATTGTTCCACAGTCAGTTTCAGAGCAGTCTACCCCTACAGTTGCAGTTCGCAGGTCAGAAAG